ACGCACGCACGCACACACACACACATACGTAATATAAATAGTATGTGTATATATATATATATATCTGCGCACACACATAATTCTGCACCTGGATGGGTCCTGTGTGGATGCATATATATATATACACACACGCAGATCATGTCATATCATGTTATATCAATGATGTCATGCTATATCTTATGATGTCATATAACATCATTTTGTGTCACGCCATGTCATATCATACCATATCACCAGTACAGAGCAAAAAAGAAATGTGTATATATATATATATACATTTCCATATATATACATATACATATCATATATCTATATTTGCATATACACATACATACATACATACATACATACATACATACATACATACATAATACGTACCTACGTACCTACGTACATACATACATACATACATACATACATACATGAATGCATACATACATGCATACATGCACAGACACATACACATACACATCCACATCCACATGCACATACACATACACATACGCATGAATATACATATACATACACATACGTACATACATACATACATACATACATGCATACATACATACATACATCCCACGGTTGTTCTATGGGTATTATTACCTGCAGTTAAAGTTACACAGTCGCACAGCCGAAAGGCATTGCATGTTGTTGTGTCTCCAACTGCATCTGTATACAGTGTTTTCAGTGTTGCTGTACTACGTATACGCGCGTTGGGTCAGGTAGTTTGTATGTAAGCGTACTTTGCGCTGCACACTCAGGATGCAATGCAGCAATGTCGTTCTGTGTATGTAACGGTCTTATAAGGTATCTTCAGTTCAAGGTGCTGACCTTTACATGTGATTACATATATATATATATATATATATTGATTTACATGTGTGTGTGTGTGCATGTCAGTAAAGGCCTAGATGTTCATTGCCTGACGAAACGTTGACATTCAGCAGCCATGTAGAGAAAACATGCGGCGCAACAAGTTTCAACGTTACATGGTTCCAGAAAGCCGTTTTCACAGGCATATCTGCACTGTCTTGACTTTTGCTGGCAGGCGTGGGTTAAGAGCCCATTCCACACAATGCTGGCTTCCGAAAACCCCTGCGGTGTCTTATCAACGTGTGACCTACTAAGTATGCATATGTAAACATGTGTAGCTGTGCGCATGTACTCAGTACTTCATTGTGATTGCATGCGGAGATGTTTACGTTTGCCTGCTTGTCTGCCGAGACTTAGACGTGTAGTCCTGTATGTACGCAACTGGATGTGTCTCTTCATGCAGCTGCTCGACTGTCTATTTTCATTTCATAAATGCACCCCCTTATTACTTATCTTCAGCGCAGGTTCACCTGCAAGCCCGATGAACAACAGCAGCCCCGCCTGGCCAAGAAGGGGATCGCGAGCCGTGAGGGCTGCCCACCAGCAGCTCCGAAAGCACTTGCAGAATGGATATATATATATATATATAGATATATATGCATACATATACTCACACATAAATGTACTATACATATATATATATATACATATATATATATATATGTATATGTATAATGTGTGTGTGCATATACATACATACATACATACCTACATACCTACATACATACATACATACATACATACATATCGATATGTATATCTGAATATTATATATATATATATATTTGCATATATATATATATACATACATAATTGGTCTCCGAAAACGTCGACATGAATCAATTCTGTACTGACTTGGTCTAACTCCGACGGGTCGTCCAACGTCCCTGCGAGGTTCTTAGTGCAAAATCCATCCGCCAAGCATGCAATGATGTGCTGAGTAGGAAGCATATCGCACAGCACCAGGTCCCAGTCCCAATGTTATGTTTTTCGCGAACAGAGCTTTCAGGAATCTCGCCCAAGCAGTTGACAAACCGTGTATGAACCTTCATTCGAACCGTTTCATCAGCCGTTGATCCCTTCGCATATGCCTGGGTATCCCAGGAGACTTTCGCAGCCTTACTGAAGAAAGCTGCCGATCTGAAAGGTGACAAGCCAGCGATGAAGGCCTGGCGCGAAGATTCGGAATTCACAAGGTTCCGGGTTTGGGCTGTAGGGTTGTGATGTAGGGTGTTTCTTCAGATTCACACGTCAAGATTGTGGGTTCCGGTCCGTCTGGGGAGCACGATTAGTAAGACTTTTCTTGTTGCAAGCTTCGGGATTCCACCCGTATCTGCCACCATTTCCCTGGTCTCAGCATTCCATCATTCTTCGGCTCTCGATTTCGCATTTGTGCGAAGTTGTTGCACCACTTGGTTTTTCAATTAACATGCCTTTGACATGTGCTTGTCTCTCCCGACCCGCAAAGCCAGGGCACGTTTCAATTCTCAGTTGAAGTGATAAGACCTCAGAGAGGGAAGCTGTCTTCCAGCCTTTAAAAAAATGTCAGTGAAATCATGTGTTTGAGATAGGATGAGAAACCGCAGTCACAATTTGGCTTAACCCAATGTAGCCACGTCGCAGGACCGTTGCAGAGGGTGGGCTCTTTCGACACGACCGGTGCATGCTATGGTTTTCATGAGTTCAGTACCACAGTAGCTACTGCTCTTGATATGGGTGTGTCAGAGAACAGGGTACTCTGGTAGAGAATCCCACATGATAAGCTCATTCGTATGCCGTCTCCGGAATACGGCCCTGTACTCCTATTTTCTCGGTCTGCTTTTTTAATTTTCACCGCATTGGTTACTGTGGCTCGTGTAGAATGCTTTCCACCCAGGTCGAGCGACCCGTCCCCGCGCCAAACGAGGCTGCTCCGGGTAACTCTGTGATTCGGGTGCTGTGGATTCTCATTTCCAGGAAGAGCTTGCAACTGACACATTGCTCGAGTACGGAAGTCGAACAGATCAGACAAGGCGTGCCGGAGCCAATTAGCCACCAGGCTTCAATCCCGCCATTATGACTGCAGCTGCCCAGCCTTACGAATGAAATCAAGAGGAGTGAGAAGTTGAGCTGCAGCAGGCGTGACAGATGCCTAGCCGCCCTCGAACAAACACTCCCAAAGTGTCCCCCCGAAGAGCGCTGCTGCAGAGCACAGCCTACCAGGTGATGCGTTGACAATAATTGTTGCTGCTTCAGGATGGCACAGTTCCGCCTGCACTGCCAGACGAGGAGCACGTTTTAACTGAGATTGCCCGATGAGTGTGCACCGACGGTCTGCGCGGCCAGAGTTGATTACCCAAGCTTGATGGTGATGATGATGATGATGATGATGATTATGATGATGATGATGATGATGTTTAAGGAAGACGGATGATGAAAGCGATGACGATGGCGACGACCATGAATACAATGGCGCCATCATGACCGTCGCGACGGAGAAGAGGATGCCGCTACTGCTGGCCATGATACTGCTGATGACGACGACGATGACGACGATGGCGCTTACAAGCACGGTGACTTTCTTGATCACGATGACGATGTTGGTTGTGGTGATGGCGAAGATAGTGGCAACCATTGTGGGTGTCATGATGAGTTTTATCGGGCTGACGAAGGTCCTGCGACAATAAGTGTGAGGATAACGATGATGATGATGATGATGATGCTGAAGGAGCAGCGGCTTCAGCAAATCTAAGAACCTCAGCCCCGCAGCCCGGCAGGAATGGATGACGTGGACATGGAAAAGCTACTACGAGGATGCACGCAGAGCAGGTAAGGGATTTGTCAAGCTCGGCGACTTGAACAGAAAGTTGTAGAGAACTAGAGGTAGAGGTTTCGTGGAATTTGTTGTTGCTTGTCGGTTTCATTTCCGGTGATTGAAGGGTTATTGAGCTTGTGATGTGCATGTGAAAGACGTGGCCACTCGAGGACCTAGCCCGCAGTACAGGCACCAGGCCGAACAACACAAACCATGCAGATGCTCCTAACACGAACGGGCGTAGTCCTATGGATTTGACCGGTTTCTTGCCAGTCCCGGGGGGCTGCTTTTCAAATTACTAGGTGTACCCCAGCTTCATCACCAAGCCGCGAAGCCAGCAAGATCAAGCCCAGGTTTGCAGAAGTTCGAGTCAGTGAGTGTTTGGGGCTTCAATGCACCTGAATGGTCGCTCGGCATGTTGGGGCCAAGGGTCTTGGGCACAGTTCAAGTTCCCTTTCGTTATGCATGTGGCTCGTGTGCCATCTGAAAGGCTTTGTTCGCCTTGCCATATAAACAGATATCGTGGGGCGCGATCAACGAAGTACAACTGAGACCGGGAGTCTAGCTTGCTTCAGTATCCTTCAGGGAGAGCTCGGAGCTCTGACAACGTCACTGGAGTTTGCCAGAGACCGGGTCACCAAGAGCATGACTTGGTCATCATCATGCAGGAAGGAGCCGGCCTTTTGTAGCCGTACTAATTAGAAGGTTTTTAGGCCCATTATATGGAACCCCCCCAAATAGTATTGGTAATTATTTAGGATCCATACCATCCCGTCCAAGAGTTGTCGATGCGTGGTTCTAGTGAGTTGCCAGACGTGGAGGCAGCAACAAAGTCGTCGTCATCGCCATTCTCGTTGCCATCATCATGTCCATGATATTTTCCTGTGTTGTGTTCGTTCCTTGGCCAGGTCTGTTGTCTACTACCCGTTGCTACTGGTATTATTGCTGGGGTTCTTTGGAGGGCCGTTTCTTGGGCTTCAGATTTCTCGTTCGTACTACTCCTCGTCTTCCTTTTGGTCATCATCATGCAGGATCTGGTGACCACTGCCAGGACGAAACACCCCTAGCCTGCATACATGAACAGTACAGGATATCCAAAATGCCAGACATCCACCCCAAACCCTAAATCCTAAACCCTAAACCCTAAATCCTAAACCCTAAACCCTATACCCTATAAGCCCAAAACCGAAGCATGCGGCCAGGATGCTCTCACTGCAGGGGGCGACCATGGCCGGTGGCAAGCGACCCGGCAGAACGGAGCAGTGGATGGAATGGGGGAGGGGTGCTCGACCGTGTTCTTTCGGCTGCTGGTGCTTTGGTATAACTAATATACATATATATATATATATATATGTGCATCATATATATATATATATATATGTATATGTACATAGAGAACAAAATATTGGTTACAGTTATATAGAGATAGTGGGTGGGCTTTTGGATGCCGTTGTCCACATTATTTGGCTGCCAGACAGCTGCGGGATCTGCACGTGAACGTTTGTCATATTCCGAGCACCTAGCCATGCATTTTGTGTTGCACGATGCTTCGAAGCTCTTGTTAACGACGTGCTTCGGTTCTTGGATCATCTGCGCTTTTGTCGCATGACGTCAACCTCGAAAACATCACACAGATTAATCGTGCAATGTCCTCTTCAAGTCATGTTCGTTCCAACTATCTGCTTCCTTGGATGTCGACTTTTCGCCGCTTTGAGCCTTCATGAGCTTTGTTTTCGAAGATGCTAATATGGAACCTTAATCCCGAAAAGGGGCCCGAATCGGTTCCTATTAAAGTCGTAGCGTCGCGGCATCGGGCACGACGACAAAAGCTGCTGCTCGCATCCAGCGAACTCTGATGCTAGTAAAAATGACTGACCCTTATAGCCCCTAACAATATAGAATTATAGCATAATCTGAGTAGTTGCAGTAGAATAGTCTTCAACACCTTATACTATTTCGAGGCCCCTATGTGATCCCAAGCCGCAAGCCTTACGCCCCATGGGCCTTGATCTGAGCAACGTGGGATCCTTGGATCGCCCCGAAGAACTCAGCTTATCTTTTTAACCCAAGAAGTTCATTCTTCTTTCTGTCTTTCTTTAAGGTAGATGTTTATGAGTTTATGACTTCTCTTTGAGTATACACATGGACATTGGTGTTGATTATCATACTCCTTGTCCCTGTTGATTTGAAGCCGGCTCTTGGCTTCCATCAAGACTCAAACCGTTCCCAGACCTCGCAATTGGGGCTTCCTGTGCGCAAAGCACAAAGCCAGCCTATAGATGCTGCACTGAGCTCTCGTCAGAGATCTTGTGTTGCTGGAGCATTCGGAACTTCTTCTTGTCCGCTCCATGTAAGCAGCAAAAACGAAGTTTGCTCCGCGTCTGTTTATCTTCAGTTTTTGCGGGCTTTTTTGTAGTGTCGTTGTCAGCTTCATCGCTCGATTGCTATTATCACTCAGATGGAGGATTATGGCCGTTATGAATCCGGCTATTGACTATTGTAGTGGTAGGCTATACACAGCGCTCTGACGCGTTCTTGATTTGTTTGTTAGCTTTTTGGCAATCTTTCTTGCCTCTGCAGCCACAACGTCCATTTCAACTCTTGTTCACTGTGCCCCTATTCCAGGGATGGTGTTGAGCTTCGGGGATTGATTGCATGAGCCAGGCCACAGGAGGTTTTTGTCATGGCTGGAGTCGAAGTGTATGTACCTGGTTGCGGTTTCGCTGCGTGAGCCTGGGATTTCGTCGCGCTGATTGGCTTAAGAACGTAGATGTCAGTCTCACATTCAGGAGTATGCACAGGGCATGTTGCTGTTCTATGTCTCTGCGACGAGACTCGGCCCTGTCATGCCCTATCTCGCCTGGAGAACTCATGACTAAACTTGCCGTTCAGACGGCACCTGCTTTGTTGTCGCTGCTTCTTTCCGTGCATCTTGGCCTTTGTTCTAGATTCTAGTTCTTCTCAATGCTTCCTTTGCTCGGGACCAGTAGCTCTATCATGTACTACAGCTAAGTTAAACTTTGGAATCTGAGGGAATAACTAGTACAGCTCATCATCACAAGGCCTAGCTTAAGCCCGCGACAAACAGATACTCTCAGCTTTTTGCAACTCAGGCTTGCTGGCCTGTATCCAACGGACACGCCGGAGACCGCTGGCTACAAGGTCGCTCACAGTGGGGATCCTTGCCAAGCACTTGTTGGGTTTACTTTCGGGCTTTGGGGCTTAGGCTTAGGCTTTAGGGGTTGAGTTAAGCCGTCTAACGTTCATACCGTAACGGTTCAACGCCGTAACATCGCATGACTCGTCGTTCTCATGGTCATCGTCAGAAGCATCGGTCCAACTGGAAACAGTTGGATCGGACACGGGCTCCTAGTTCGACAGCTTCATGATACAAGAACTGGAGTTGGAGGATTTGTTCGCTTCTGGTTGAAATTGCTGCTTCTTGGGGCTGCACGACGTCGTATGTGCAGCACAGTTTCACGCGTAACACGGCAAATCAATTTCGCTCGGAACAGCATGCGATGGATATTTGAGTGCGTATGCCTCTGGAAGTATGCATGTATGCACGCATGCATGCATGTATGCATGCATGGATGTATGTATGTACGTACGTACGTCATAAAAAATGCGTACCTACACATGTGTAGATATAAATATACAGAGAGAGAGAGAGATATATATATATGTATATGTATATGTATATGTATGTATGTATGTTTGTGTAGATGCAGGTATATGTATGTATGTATGTACATATGTAGGGAGGGAGGGAGGTAGGTAGGTAGGTACGTAGGTAGATAGCCAAAGCCGTCATACCAAGGCCGCCGTAGTGGTCGTTGAGGACAGGAACAAGCTTGACAGGACCGGATCTTAATCCGATATTCCAACCAGCTGAAGCACATGGACACCTGCACCAGCTCAGATGGACTGCAGTACGAGCAGTGTTCATGAGCGTACCATTCAGAAAGATGATGTCGCAGCCGCAAGCAGCTGCCGGCATTTGCTACATCGGGGACTGTATTTATATGGCTGTTATGGTTGTAAGCAGTCTTGCAGTAGCTGTAGCAGCTTTAGTCCGGCGAGTCCTTCAGCAGGCTCGTCGACGCGCTCAACAAACGCAAAGATCCCAAGCCTTTGCGTGTCAGAAGCTTAGTTTGGGGAGCAGCTTGGGCCTAGAGCTGCAATGGGGTTGGGACCTAGCAGCAAACCTTGTGCTATTGTTGTTGGACAGCCGGCATCGACAGACTCTTGCACGTTGACGGATGATGACTGCATTTGTGTCAGGCGAAAGTGCTGTTGTTTCTGAGTATCTGGGGAACCAGATCTACTGCAACGTATTATGTTTTCTGTTCCCACGCTCAGGTCAAGGCATTTGTTGCCTACGGGTTTACGCCCGCGGACGACGAAAAGGTCGAGGTCCAGGCAAGACGCAGGATATAGTCGCACCCGAGCATGTAGTCGGTTTTAAGGCTGTTGAGGTGACAGACTCATTTGCTTGAAAGGCCTAAAAGACCGAATCAAGAATGATTTCCACGATTCGCTGAAGCTAACGAGTCGGTGAAGCCTACAATGCGACGATGCAGCAAGTCCAGAATGCTAAGAGTCGAAACACCTGTTTTGAACTCCACTGCCGATAGTACTGCGTATTGCTTCCTTGTGGTCCACGTCGGCTGTTTGCCGGGCCTCGACGTCGAGGGCCAGCTGGTCGACGACGCTGTTCAGCGCGTAGGTTCTGAGCCGCGCGACAGCGACATCGAAGACCTCGATTTGACAGTGGTGGCTTTGGGTTAGGACATGTCGTTTGAGCAACGGTCAATCTCTGGCCACCACGAGCCACCCTAAGAATCTACGAACCAGTAGGAGTCTCGCGTCCACTACCAAAGTCAGTATTAGGAGCCTGCATGTTGTCTTGCATATACCACATGTGTTGATATTTGGGCTGTCTATATATATATATATACTTAGTTTTTAAAACGTGTTTCTGTTTGATTGTACAGGTATCTATCGCTGGACGTTCGACCCATCTGCCCCAAAATCACATCTACACCCAAGACCCTGTCGCCTTCGACAGGGAGACAAGAAGCCCGTCATGAGCTGGGCAGCCCTCATGGCCATGGGTGACAAGGTCGTTTGTTCTTGCGTCTGGGGTGCTTGAGGGCGAACAGCGCGAATGCTCTGGATTTGTTCCAGGTGTTTCGGAAAAGAACCGCAGATTTTGGGATGTGCCGGTATGTATGTGTCTATATATAAAGACATGTATACAATATGTACATGCATCTCATCTCACATCATAACATTCCCATGCATACATACATATGCGCTTTACATATCTACATACCTACATACATGCATACATACATACATATATGTATATATATATATATGTATATATATATATACACATGTATATAGTATATATATATATATATACATACGCATATACACATACACATGCACATATCTACATATACATATATATTATATACTGTGTATATATATATATGCATATACACATACATATATATATATATGTATATATATATATATCTGCATATATACATATATATATATATGTACATATATGTATATGTATATGTATATATACATACATGCTGCTACACACATACAAACAAACATACATACATACATACATATCTACATACATACATACATACATACATACATACATACATAGAGATGTGCATATGTACATCTTTACATATATACACGGACTCATCGACACATATGTATATATACACATATGTGCATAAATGTAGGAAACAGATATAAGCATGCACACATCTGCATACATTCATATACTTGTACATATATACACCTGATTGCTTACATACATATACAGTTATGTTCCCACATGCATATAAACAGGTGTACACACATACTTATGAGCATTCATACATATACGTAGACGACGTAGACGTGTATGTATGTATGTATGTATGTATGTATGTATGTATGTATGTATGCATGTGTGCACGTATGTATGTATGTATGTATGTATGTATGTATGTCTGTATGGATGGAATGGGTGTTTGTTTTTTACTGTTAAGCCCCGGCGAACCAGCAAGTGAGTGAACTGCCGGTGGGGGGCCCAAACAGCAAAATAAAAAACATCCCCTCGGCAGCAGCAGCAGCAAAAAAACACCCCCCCACGCAGCAACAGCAACAAAAAAGCAGCACCAGCAAGAAAATAAGCATCCCCGCCCGAAAAAAAAAAAACAAACACCCCCGCGTAGCAACAGCAACCAAAATAAACCCCCCCTCCCCCCCCGGCCCGCGCAGCAACAGAAAAAAACAAAAAACACCCCCCCCCCCCCACCAACCTCCGCCCCCCCACCCGCAGCAAAAGGAAAAACACACCCCGCAGCAACAGCAAAAAGAAAAAACACCCCCACGCAGCAACAACAAAAAAGCCCATCCCCCCCACAGCAACAAAAAAAACACCCCCCGCAGCAACAGCAAAAGAACAGCAACAACAGAAATCAACTCTTGCCCATGCATGTATGTATGTATGTATGTATGTATGTATGTATGTATGTATGTATGTGTATGCCAACATGTATAAATATATATATATATATATGTGTGTGTGTGTAGATGTATGTATTTAAATAAATATATATGGCGATAAATAATTCAATATATTTATACTCATACGCTTGTGCCCGTGCCTATAAATGTGTGCATACTTACATACATGTATATGTGCGTCTGCACATACATGTTTGTATGCATGCATACATGCGTGCATGCATGCATACATACATACATACATACACACAGATAGACCTCCGTGCATGGGAGAAAGTGTGTACGCATGTGCATACATGACCATAAATTACTCTTTCATCCGCAATACCAAAAAGCTTAGGCCTAGGTACATGCAACTGGATTTGCGCAGTCATGTGTAGTCATAGTCGCAAGTTATCCTGTTTTTTTTTTGAAGCGGTGTTTAGAATGAGGAGTAAGTAGCACATATCATATCCCTGCAGCGTAAGCACGCTTTCTCAGACGTGCTTCATTGGCCCTCAGCACCTCAAGTACATTGCACGAGCCGTGCTCCTCAGACTTACTCACATCTCTTCCGACAGGAGAGCGATGCGGAACTTGATAAGCGAATAGCTGACGTGTCGCCTTTGGGGTGTGCAGCCCTGGTGCACCTGGGCATCGAGTAGATGAAGTCAAGTGCAGTGTCAAGGGAGACAGGTTACTCAAGGAGTTCATCGTCTTCGTGATCTCGATTGGGACCTAGGTAGGAGGTCTGGCTTGGACAATGGAATGTGACCGCAGAGACTAAGCCTTCGTTAATTAGGCAGAAAAGCGAAGTCCTGCCAGCCAGATGCCACGAGCCGTGGGCATGTTACTGCACTGCTAACAGATACTGTTTCTGTCTGGTCAGACATGCAGGAAGGCTGGCATCCAACTCTTCGCCACCCAGAGTGCGCAGGGCCCCGACACCAAGGTACACATCTGGCACCACCGGAGAGCCAAAGGCAGTGATGCTTTCGCACGCACCGTGGCTGTCGACTGGGTAGCTGGTGTCGCATCATTAAATGATACGACGTCAACGCCGTCAAGGATGAACTCTTTAAAACTTGCTGGAATGGAGGGAGCTCGTGACTTGAAGCGTCAGCCCAATGTTTCTTCTCCGTCGTAAGCTACACATTGATCGTCGTCACTCGTAAAACAAAACTCGCATACGTTTTGACGCAGGTGTGGTCACCTGGAGATCCCCGCAAGCTTTCCTCTCACTGCCCTGAAGATCTAGACCCAGAGAGGGAGAGACCTGCTGCATGACCGAGGATGCCATCATCTTCACGAGCAGTGGAGTTTTCGAGTGCCTTCCTCGGGGTCCACTTGCATCGACTTTTAGGCTTCCTTTAGTTTGGGTGGCATCTGCGTGCCAGTCGTTCTGGGTTAATTCAGAGGCCTTGACACCGATGTCTGCGCGTATCCAGCTGAGCGATTGCAGACTTTGCAACGGGCTTCAGTGCAGGATTTGCAAAACCCCAACGGACTTTGAGTCGTGGCAGTGCGCCAACTTTTCACAACACGAAAGTCGCGAAGACGGAAGCTTCACGAACAATTGAAGCCCAGGGCCAGCGTCGGACCTACCCATAACTTCGCCGTCCTACCGGAGCAGGACGGAGTTCAGATTAAGTGCTTGCAGTGCTTGCTGACGTGTCTCTGATGATCTTCTCTTTTGTGGGGCGCTATACCATCCGAAGTCATAGTCCTGCAAGATCACTGGAACAGTGCCAGGCATCGTTGAAAGTAGACTGCTCTACAGACCAGAGCAACTCGTGAGAAGTCCAGAGAGACAGATTCCGAGATCTCAGAACTTGCTCTGATCCTGGATCTGGAAGCCCCGCCAGGAGCGATTTCTGTCGTATCTACCTTTGTCGCACGTGGCTGGACTAATGGTGGACATGTGACGCTTGGCTGTGACGGGTTTAGGATTTAGGCTTGTCCCTCGCTCTCTCTGTCTCTGTCTCTGTCTGTCTCTCTCTCTCTCTCTCTCTCTCTCTCTCTGGTCCGCATCTGTATGCATATCTTGCATAGGAATTCCCATGCTATCCAGACATGCGTGCACACATTCAGGCATATATACATACATACATATTTGGGCCACGGCTTTCGGCGTTCATCGGATGAGAGTCCTTAGAGACTCCAGGACCGGCGGGTACATGGCCGGACCTTTTCTTGACACGTGACCCCACGCTCCACAACTAAGACAGGGGCCCTATAATGATTCGGATATAGGGTTTGGGGTGTATATTATATAGGGGTTATATTATATAGGGGTTATATCATAATATCATTATAACCAGGTTCCGTCAATTTTGGTACAGAGCATCTTTGTTTGTCCGGAAGCCCAGAAGCGCGATGCTCGAATACTGAAGCGTAGTTGACTCCTGACCGAGGCTGTCCCATGGCGCTGACTGCCAAGTTGCCAGCTGGATTCAATTCTGGTTTTGCTCTTCGCAAGTCCAAACTCGGAGTACACGCCAGGATGTTGCTACTGCTACGACTACGGTCAGACAATGTCAGGTCTAAGGAAACAAGAAGCAAGACAAGACTTAAGACTCAGTTCGGTGATGATATTCCGGACGTGACAACAACAACAAGTATTGCGACTGCCAGACGTAGCTAGGGACAAGGGTCGTCAGAAGCACTTCTGTGGGTTCATGCGTGTTGTGCCTGTTGTATTCTGCCAAAAGACTGTGCGTAGGGTTTACTTCGTGTGGTGTGGAGCTTAGGAGGGAGTGTAAGCAATTTGGCGGAACTCGTCTTGACCGCGTTCTGTCCGATGCGCATTCGGCATGCAGTCTGATGAGCTCAATGATGTCGAAATCGTGGTGTGGATCAGAATGCCCTACTACAAGAAAGCTAGAGACCGAATCACGGCGCTTGCCCATGCCTCGATTACAGGTTGCCCATGCTACCCCAAACCCTCAAGCGGGACGATGTGGTCCAGATAAGTTCCTTTGCGCAACTACCTGTGAAAGTCCTGCACAAGATACACCTGCGATGCCTTGCACAGGCCATGTTGGTGCACGGCCTATTTTGCTCGACCATACGATCTCAAGATGGGTGCCATCAAGGACCTCGGCTGTGTTTGTCTGGGCAAGGCCACATTTTGGCACATCAGGAGCACTCAGCTGAGAATCCTTTTTTCGCCACGAGCTGCAGCATACCTTCAGCTTAGTGAGCAGCTCTTCTAGGCCGCAACTAACCTGCGCTTCGGGGCGCTAGACCACCCCTCGCCTCGTGCAGAAGTGCGCGAACGCCACCGCATTGCCCGATCATTTGGACGCACAGCCCTGAGACCCCAAGCCCGAAAACCCTTCTTCCACCACATGACCCTATCAACCCTAACACCTCGAAAGCAAGTCTCAAGCCTAGAATCCTAAACTGCCAAGGCTTCAACTGGCCTCTGAAGCAATAGGGTCATTAAATAATACTTAATAGCAATAGTATTATCAGTATTACTATTTATTATTATTATTATTATTATTACTATTATTATTATTATTATTATTGTTTATTATTATTATTATTATTATCTCTGAAGCCTTGTCCTGAACCACAGGACCGACTCTGCGCGGCGAGGCCCACCGCCATGCTGGGCGTCCCATTGGTTTGGGAGAAGCCTCTTGACGAGGGTTCAGGGTTTAGGGTTTAGGGTTTAGGGTTTAGGGTTTCGGGTATAGGGCTTAGGGTTTAGGGTTTAGGGTTTAGGG